GCAGATGACAAAAATATGTTGGGAGACAGAGGGGTGAGGGATAATATCAAATGAACAGTTTACGTTTTGGTGATGATTTCCAGCTCTCCACATCTAGAGACCCTGCTCAGTCATGGTAAATGGTCAGCAAAGAAATGGAAGGAAGAAACACATCTGAGAAGGTGAACGAAGACTGGTTTGAAATTCCAGCTGGCATTATCAAAGGTGTGGCTGGGAACCAGGGTTTCAGTCAAGGTGTTGTTTGGACACAAACATCTACTTTTGTACCATCTGTTTTTCCAGTGGACCCTGTTTGGTCTTAGTCACAACCCTGTACTGGAGAATGGCTGTTGCTGAACCAGTATATGGGCATTAAAAGCTTTCTTTTTAGATATTGTTGAAAATAACTCAGTAATATGGATAATTGCCTGAGAATTATTTCAGAAGATTCAGCTCAAGATTAAAATACCTAAATATAGGCATCTAAATGTAGATGTCTACATAGACCCAGAGAAAAACTAAAGTTGGGAAGGTCCTCTGGAGTCCTCCCACTCCATCGCTCAAAGCAGGGCAAACTTCAACTGTAGGGCCTTTTCCAGCTACATTCTGAATATGTCCAAAAATGAAGACCCAAAAATTTCTCTGGATGACCTGTTCTAATGTTTATCATCTGTTACAGTGATTTTTTTTTTCCCCTTAATAACTAATTGGATATCATCTGTCACAGTGATTTTTTTTTTTCCCCTTAATAACTAATTGGAATTCCCCTTGTTGCAACTTGTTCCCCTTGACTTTCCATTGTGCACCTGTAAGAAGATCTTGGGTCCTTCCTCTTTATACACTCCCATTAGATATTAGTAGACAGCAATAATCAGATTCTTCCCTTTCCCTTTTCTCCTTCAGGCTGTACAAACCCAACCTCTCCACCCCTCCCCACAGATCATGTGCTACAGCCCCTTAATCATCTTGGCAGCCTCCTCTGGCTTTGCGTGATAGCTCAATGTAATCCTTCTACTGGAGAGCTTAAAACTCGACACAATACCCCAGGTGCAGTCACACACGCAGTGGTCATGCCAAGTGAAGATATACCCATGCACTAAGCATTGAAAAGGCAACAAATCTATACTCTACATGGATGCTGGACCATAGGTAACATGATAGTAAGGACTGTCTATGACTGGTATTTTGCCAGTGTCAAAGGTACTGGCAAAAAACCCAAGATTAAGCAAAGTAAGAATTACAAGTCTTAATAGCAGTTTCTTAATGGATTTAGAAAGGAGTCATGAGCAGGGGGATCTTTTCCAAAGCCAGAAGTCACTGCTGTAATCAGGATGTGAAATAGCACGTGTGGGATTCAGTCTAATATTCAGACATTTAATTTGTCCATGTGCACAATGCATCTAAAATCCCATTATAATTGATGCATATTTTTTCGATAAGTTTGATTCACTTAAACATAAGTGTCTGAAGCCATTTGAGAAGGTCTATTGAAACATTTCGTATCTGAGACATCCACAGTCTCAGACTAAGCAGACTTGACACATCATGTCTGTACCCTTCTGTAAAGTAGGTGGAGGCCAAGTAACACTCTTGAAATCCTCTAACGTCACTAGGCATCAATTTGTGACTCAAAAAATTAAATTTCCATTCAACTCCAGGAGTTTAGAACCTAAATCACATGTAGACACCTGCAAACAAAAACCTGGAGCATAATCCAGTTGCCTAAATCTAGGAATTTAGTAACGTTTGAGATGCCATAATGTATTTGAGATATCCACACAGTGCTGGAAGATGTGTCACAGATGCCAAAGATATCCAGGATATCCAACCTGTTAAAGAACATCTAAAGTGGCACTAGATGCTTATAGTTAGACAAGTGAATCACTAATGTTAGAAGTCTTCATACTGAACTAAATCCAACCCTAAATATTTAGGCCAGAGAATTAGCTGTGTGTACAAAAAAAGGAAGGTTAGGTCATTAGGGAAATTCTAAAATTTACAGGGTTTTGTATGTTTTTTTTATGCAGCACAATAGAGGTGCCAACAGATCTTTACCACAGTTGTAAGTGCGGAGGGTTTTAATGTGTCGTAAGTATGCTACTGACGGCCACTTCGAACTTTCCTTTCAAGTCCATATAGTGCCATCTCCTTCTGGTCCCAAAATCTAACTTTCAGATTGCTTTAAAAAACAAGTTAATCCAATGCATGCAAGAAGGGGGGGGAACAAATTGCAAATAAAGAAAGCTTTTCTGCTCATCAAATTGTCATATCACATGCAAGTCTAAAGAATATATCTTCTATTTCAACTACTTACAAGCTTCTTGTGGCAGTGACCAGGCTGTGAATGAAATATATGCTCCTCTTTGCCATGATCACCTAAAATTAAGCTTTGTCTTAAAATAGGTTTTTCTTTCTTCATCTCTTTTTCTTTTGAATTTTTCAAGTCAGCAACTGACATTTCAGATCTGACATGTAAGGCCGCCTTACTCTCTCCAGCAGCCAACACCTGTAAAAGAAACAGCAAAAAGTCGGTCTATTAATACAAGGCAAATGGACTACGATCATATACAGTTTAATTATGCTATCTGAATGCTTTGCACTAATAATTCTTACCTCTCAAATATTAAATTACTATAAAAAGATAGGAGTACAAAATGCTATTCACAATACTGAAAGATAAAGCATGGTTACTTGTCAGCTACTATAATTAAAGTTTGTCCTTGCCACTTTAGATATTGTATTTTGTATCTGAATTACAGAATATTAAGGTGTATCCTTTTACTCTCCTTTTCTTGCTTTGGAAAGGACCTTGAGCCCAAAGACAACAGACGACTAAGGGCTCAAACTAAATCCTAAAATGTTAAACCTTTCTTAACTACTAATCCTGTTGAAAGAAAAACGGAAGGAAGAAAAGCCTAAGTAAAGCTTGGCAAGCTGGAATTTTGGACAGAGGAACATCACAGGCCTGTCGACAGCTGTAGAGGAGGAATTTGGTAAACCAGTGATGCCTTTCATTTAACGATGAAATTGGATAGTTGCTAGAGGATATTTGCATGTCCTCTTACAAGTCTGACTTTTCTGATTATTAGCAGTAAATCAGAGGTATTTTTTTATAAAAAGTTAGGAAATAAGATATGTCTTACAATAATTTTCAATCTATCTTGTTGCCTCAGCTCAGAGCTTCACTTCTCAGGAATAAAATAAAAAAAAGGTGATCCCTGGTCCCCTACAGGCCAAGGAATGAATGAATCTAGGCAATACTTTGCCAAGAGGAAACACTGTAGAAGTCTGATGTGTGTCTATTAGCTCTTCAAACCAACAGCAAAGAAACTAATGCAGTCTCTGGATGTCCTTCTACATTAATATGGAACTAATGGCATTAGCCTGGCCAAAGACTATTCCCGCTCTTGTCAACTGGTAGACCTTCTGCATGCAATCACTCAAAAAGAGGCATGACACCCCTTAAAGAGCTGAGCACAGTGGCTCTCAGGAAGCTTGCATTTTTAATCAATCCTGAAATCTATCAGCATCAGAACTTCCAGTCTCAGGGAACTGTAGAAATGACAACTTTTCTTATGGATGCAAATTTATCCACTCATACTTCCTTCATCAGACTACACAGTAACAGCAAGAAGGAATATCCAGAGAAAGGAATTTTTGTACACAGCAGTAGTGGTAGTGTACAAGAATGGGGCAAACCAGAGAGCGCAGGCACCTATGCAAGACCATAAAAGCTACACACTTGCCAGCAAGCCACTCCTATAAAATGTCAGGTCTGCAAATCCTAAAACTTAATATGATTTAACTTGGACTCATGCTGTTTGTTTGTATCACAGAAATGTTTATATATATTTAAATATATATACATACATGTATTTATAAAGAGACAGAGAAATTAATTGTGAGAAAGTACTGTAAAAAGCACGTTTATTTAAAAACCTTATTTCCCTAATTCACAAACAGAAGAAAACAAAAGGAACCACATATTATATATAATAATTTACAAACCTGTTCTTTCTCTAGAATTTGTTGGGCTTCCTGAAGTAATTTTTCCTTTGCCTCTGTTTCAGAACGAGTAGCTCTGTTTTGCTCTTCATATGCCATAGTTACCACAGCCAAGATCAGATTGAAGAGATAAAATGAGCATAAAAAGATGACCCCCAGAAAAAAGAAAACGTAGTTCTTCCCACATGTACGGATAGTCTGTGAGGAAAAGGTAAAGGTTGTAATAAATTATTAACAAACTAACATTTACAATAGAATTTCAAACTAATTTGAAACAATTTATTTTCCTATACAATACAAAAGGTCAACATACTGCACTGTTTTCTTTAAACAACAGTAGGATCTAGAAATAGCTCTAGTCAGGAGTTCCCCTGGCCTTCAAGTAAATAAATTTCAGCTCTTAAAAACTTCTCTGTGATCATACAACGTTTTCTCTTTATGTAACAGACCATCAAACATTCAAAATGATGCCATGTACTGCAGAGAAGAATTAACAAAATCCATTCTTAAAATTAAATGAATTATCTCCCAGCAAATTGGGCAAATGATCATCAGAGTTTAAGTTATGAGAAGACAACTTCAGCTGTAAAGAGATATACAGGTGACTACAGAAGAAATTAATAAACCCCAGTAATAAGGATGAAAGCTAGGATTATCTAAACAATCATGAAAGATGCTATAATTAGTGAATCAGAGGCAATATTTAGACTGATTGCTTATTCTTACATTTTTTTAAACGGCAGGAGAGGAGATGGCTCAAAATTAAGCTCTGAGACATTAAAACCTAAAAACCACGTGACCTCCAAATGGCAAAAAGATGTATCCATTTAAAAAAAATCTCAGTTAATAAAGGTTGCTGGAAAAAAGTTAAAGTGGACTATATGAAAGTTATAGAACAAGGCAGAGGATAATTCCCTTCTAGCAAAGGCACGGCATAGATGTAAGGGATCCAGTGAGTTCTCTACATGCAATTTTTGTATCATTTTTGTCAAAAACCAGAATTTAAAAGTTACATTCAACTCTCTGAATCAAAACATAAAGGCTCCAATTTTTTTTAGTACCAGTTGTCAAAAATTATCTGAAATGAAAGTGTATGTTATATGTTGAACCAAAAGTTTTGGTGAGGAGTCAGGACTTAAAAGGAAGAGAAACAGAGTATGTAACAAGTCCTCATATCCCCTGCAGCAGCAGTGAGCTCACTAGCCGGATCCCCAATCCTTTGGTAGTTATATATTAACATTTAACTATTAATCACTGACCCAAGTGCTCCATAGTTGTGTTCTCCAACAAAACTATGAGCATTCACAGCAGGATTGCTCCCATCCAATGTCACTTGCAGAAGGTGCTACACCTTAGTCACTTGAAGCTACTTCCTTAATATTTATGTTGATTTTAAAACAAATTTGGTATCAGTAATGTTAAAACAGGTGCAGATTTTTCTAGTGGACATAAAGCTCTAAACTGCATGTCTAAAGTCATTCTAGCAGGTAATAAAAGTACCTACTTGTCTGTAGAGACGCTCCCAGCAATCCTGTGTCATCAGACGAAATAAAGAAAGGAAGGCCCAGCCAAAATGATCAAAACTTGTATAACCAAAGTCAGGATTCTTCCCAATCCTCTCGCAGCTATAGTTTTCTGGGCACTCTTTGCTAGCCACAAAAGAAATGTTAAACAATACTTACTTGCAGTATTAGATTGTACCTGAAAGCACCCAGTACACAACATCAAATATTTTGTTCAGTTTATCTTTAAGTCCATTTCATTATTTCCCAGTATAATTCTGCCAGAAGGGCTGATTTATATGAGACAATCCTAGAAAGCCTTTTGTCTAGTCAAAGAAACTAGACAGAAACTCTAGTTCTGTCTAGTTTCCGAGTAGACAGAAACTCTCCACTGATGTAGGATGAATTCAAACAAATACATAGAGAGGGGAAAAAAATGAAAATATGTTTACTTTTAAATAATTCATCAAGATGAGGAGAGTTTATTAATATCTCACAACTCTTTACTGATCTGTTCCCCTCCTCCTTTATATCATTCTACATTACCATTATATTACCAGTGGTTAGCAACAAAGCACATATACAATTGCTTGCATCCTAGTACTTTACTTCATTCTTTTTCTGATGTGAAATATCTGATTTTTAATTTAATAACCCCCCACACACACATTCCACCCTCCTGAAAAATCATCACCATTCCTTTAGGCCAAAAATAAAACCACAGCACATCTGGAGGAAAAAATAAGAAAGTACTAAAACTGTTTTGTTCACTTACTCAGGATCTGAACTGAACCCACAGAGCAGTATTTCAGAAGATTTATTCATTCTGTAGCAGATATCTAATAAAAAAAATATCAAGGAATCATAAAATCAGAAGTTGTCAGTTCCTACAGCACTCTGACAGTAAACCATACATTGCTGCACTTTAAAAAAACAGCCTGATGGACCACATCTCTGTGAAAGACTCCTTTCACAACAAAGGGCAGATAGGGCTGTTTCTCAGCAGATCTGTCCCTATGGCCATTTAAAAAAAAAACAAAAAAACCCTGCATAACTTACAATGTAAGATTTTGTTTGATCTCTGGTAAAAATAAGAATCTCTGCGAGAAGTAGGCAAAATCCCTGAATGATATAGCTTTAGTAATGGAAAAAATCATTCTCTGTGCAGTATCCCTAAAATTAGGATCCCGGTGCAATGTGCACAGGTAAAGAAGCAAACGCTTGTAGAAAACTCAGTCCCTTCTGTCCCACAGCTTGCTAATCTTTCTCCAAATCCCACATTCGCTAATCTCACATTCAGCTGTCCCAGAGACTTCACATTACTACTTGTGCAAATGGAAGGACATACCTTCTTGCGAAAAATACATGCAACTATTTTTTAACATCTCTGTGAAAAAACAAGACATACACAGGAAGATACACAGATTATGTAAAGGGAGAAAAGAATAAAATTTACCTTCATCATTTGGTACATATATCTTGGCATCCTTACATAATGTGTCATTATATGTAGTATTACTGAGGACACATTTGGATGTTAAATTGCCCATAAAAAGCTGGAGGCCTATTAGAGCAAATATACTCAAGCAAAAAACAGTCAAGATCAACACATCAGTAAGTTTCTTAACAGAGTCAATAAGTGAATTTACAATGACTTTCAGACCTAGAAAAATAAGATTTAATAATATGCAAAATGAGAAGAGGAATGCGGTAGCGTTCCCATATGACAATATAAAACAGTTGCAAGTATGTTAAAAACAATCAGTATAAATGGTTTTGTAACTTCAGAGTATTAAAAGAGGTAAAATAAGGTATAGAATGAGTAAAGTATTTTTACTTAAATTTCCAAATCATAACTTCTTTGGCTTTTACTTCCTTCTAACACTAATTTTGCTAACTTGAAAATTCTAAATTAAGATGGCATCTAAGCAAACTCTTAGGAGCTTTAATGAATATGGACAGATTTCTGTGCTTGATTAACGTTAACCAAGTACTTCACATTGTGCCAAATACACACTACAATAAAGGGTAGCTTCTGCTGACCTCAGGGAATTCTGTCTTAGAAGATAATGTCTTACAGATGTCACCAGTTTAAAAGCAAAAGAACATTTATGACACTCGGAAGGGAACAAATATATGTTGGGGACCACCCAGCTGGAAAGCAGCTTAGCAGAAAAGGACCTGGGGGTTCTGGTGGACACCAAGTTGAACATGAGCCAGCAGCGTGCCCTCGCCGCAAATAAGGTGAATGGTATCCTGGGCTGCATTAGGCAAGCTATTATCAGCAGGTCGAGGGAGGTGATCATACCCCGCTACTCAGCACTGGTGGGGCCACATCTGGAGTACTGTGTCCAGGTCTGGGCTCCCCAGTACAAGAGAGACATGGACATACTGGAAAGAGTCCAGCAAAGGGCCACAAAGATGACGAAGGGACTGGAGAACCTCGCCCATGAGGAAAGGCTGAGAGAGCTGGGACCGTTCAGCCTGGAGAAGAGAAGGCTCAGGGGGGATCTCATCAATGTATATAAATACCTGAAGGGAGGGTGCAAAGAGGATGGAGCCAGGCTCTTATCAGTGGTGCCCAGCGACAGGACCAGAGGCCATGGGCACAAACTGAAACACAGGAGGTTCCCTCTGAGCATCAGGAAACACTTTTCTCCTGTGAGGGCGACTGAGCACGGGCAGAGGTTGCCCAGGGAGGTTGTGAAGTCTCCATCCTTGGAGATATTCAAAAGCCGTCTGGACATGGTCCTGGGCAACCAGCTCTAAGGAGCTCCGCTTGAGCAGCGGGGCTGGACCAGATGATCTCCAGAGGTCCCAGCCAACCTCAATGATTTTGTGATTCTTTGAAAATGGGTTATATATAAACTGAAGACCAATATTCTGGCAGAATAACTGAATTTGAAATATGACATAGGCAGAGAGTGATATCCAGGATTTTTCTAGAAGTTTTCCATAAGAAAAAAGTAAAATTACATTTAATCTCTGTTCTCCATGGTGGATATGAAAGGAAAAGTATTGATGGGTGGTTTTGACATTAAAAATTAAACACACCCTATGTTTAATTCCTGTTAAAATTCCATAGCAAAATCAAAAATATATTTGTAATTACATAGAAATGGTAAAGTTAATAAATATTATGACAATGGGATATGTAGTCATTTATAGATTTTCAAATGAGTTTTTGCAGTTAGATTCCAAAATCCATATTTTGGTATCCTAATGAGTAGAACGACTTACAAAAATATTGAATATCTGGACAGCATATGCAAAATACTGTTAATGAAACGATTATGCTCAATCCAGATAGTGCCTGTGTTCAGTAAACAAACAAATTAAAAACTCTGAAATATTGTGAAGTCAGCATTCTGGGAAATAAACCATAGAAGATCAAGCTAATCAAGTATAACATGAAACCAGAAATATGGTGGTATAGCCATCATAGGCTATTGAATAGGTGTGTGCTGCTCAGGAAAGACAAAAGTAAAAAGAGAAAGGCACTGGGCTAAGTAAAATTGAACATTAGTGATGGGATAGAAAAAGCAGAAAATACAAAAATTTGCCTGCGTCAAAATCATTTTGAGGAAAGATGATAAAAAATATTCTGTCAGGATGCTGCTGAGAGTTACTGCAGACTGCAAAACAGTCACACCTTGGGATCTCGTTAACCGTCACAAAAAGTGACCAGAAAACTGAAGACAAGAAGAGGAGAGGAATTAGAAATAGCACACTGCTGAAGCGGAGAGAAAATCAGTAAGACATGTTATGTTGTTCCTTACCTGGTATTACTGAAATAGCTTTCAAAGTCCTCAGTACTCTGAAAGTTCGAAGAGCTGAAACCTTGCCCATACTTTTCCGTATACTAACATACCTATAAAATTAAACCACCATGTAACTGAATGACAAAGACCTAGCTTTTCAGAGCATATGCATATTGAGCACACAGTAATGAATAAGTTATAGAAAATAAATAGGTCAAACGTCCTAAGGTAGATGTCTAAATTAGAAATCTATTTTATATCAATACCTAGAATGGATTTAATGAGACTTTTGAATAATGCCTCTGAAAAGAAACACAGCAAGTTGCTACTTAGTGTGGATTTGGATGCTTAAACTTTTGAAGTGCTTATTCATCAAAATGTCAAATAAATACAAAACCCTCTCATACTGAGGCTAATCTGATTTAGCTCACTGAAAGTGTATGTTCCAGTTGTCTCAAAACTACACAACATATACTTTAGGAGAAGGGAGCTGAGCAAAACTAGGTTTACAATATGTTAATTCTGTACCACATGGCTGTCTTTCTGACTTTTATTTAACAGTCAGCTAAAAACCTGAGTATTGAAACTAGTTTCAATTTAATCATTTCAACAATTTGAAAATTTCAGAAAATGAGGATTTTAAGAGTTGCATATTCTATACAGCACTTTATCAGGTTACCCCTTATTTTATAAGACTTCTTTCATGTCAGAATGGACATGAATTGTGACTCATCTTATGACAAGGTCATAACTGGTAACAGAATTCCTTAAAATAAAAAGTCTCAATAACAGAATCTGAGAAACATCGGTTGGAAAGGACCTCTGGAGATGATCTAGGCAACCTCCCACTCAAAGCACGACTTTTGTCAGCAATAGATCAGAACACTATGGCTTTGCCTAGCCTGTAAGATTAAATAATTCTCAAGTACCTTAAGTAATAACTGCACTTGAGTTAACTGTTGAGTTAATTTCCAAATACTTTTATTTTTTGCATGATAAGACCCAAAAAAACAGGAGATACTATATATCTGCTTGAACACAAATGAATTAGGAGTATGGGTAGGGAAGTAGGACCATAAAATGAAATTGTTCATACAGCTGTTGGACTACCTGATAGTTACTGATGATTAACAATGTGGCAGAAAACCACTAAGCTCCTTAGTGGTTTACAGATTACCCATCAGAATACTTTGTTCACGTACATATAAATATATGTGTGTGATGACATCTGAGTACATAACCTATTATTTACAAATAAGGAAAAACCAGTCAGGGATATGACAGTTGATGGCAGCCTTTGCTACGGAGGCCATGAGATGGTGGAGTTCAAGACCCTGAGAGAAGCAAGCAAGATGAACAGCAGAATAAAAATCTCGGACTTTAGGACAGCAGATTTCAGCATGTTCAGGGATCTGAAACTGCCCCAAAGGGAAAAGTGACCCCCAGAACAGCTGGTTGATCTTCAAGGGTATTTTCTTCAAAGCACAGGAACGATGCACTCTACCCTGTAGAAAGCCAAGCGGATGTGGCAGAAAACCAGCTCGTCTGAACAAGGAGCTCCTGACTAATCTCATATTCAAAAAGGAAGTGTGCAGAAGGTTGAAGCAGAGAGATCTCTGGGGAGGGACACTAGGACATTGCCAAGCATGCAGGGATGAAGCAAGGAAAGACAAAGTTCAGCTGAAGTTGAAGTTAACAAGGGATGTGAAGGGCAACAAGAAGGGCTGCTCTAAGTACATCAGCAGTGAAAAGATGACTAAGGAAACTGTGAGCCTGTTGTTCAAGGAGGCAGGGAACCTAATGACAAAGGACATGCAAAAGCTGAAACTACTCCATACTGCCTTGATTTGGTCTTTACCAGCGAGGTCTGCTCTCAGGCCTCCCAGGTCCCTGAGTCTAGTGTCAAAATCTGTGGAAGTGAAATATCTATGTGCTGTGATCAAAGGGACAAAGTTCAGCTGGCAGCTGGTTACTAGTGGCATCCCTTATGGGTCAGTCCCGGGGCCAATATTGTTTAACAATTTCATTAACATCCTGAAGAATGGAATAGAGCTTGCCTTCAGCAAGTTCACAAATACTAAACTGGGGGGAGAGCAGTCAACGCACTGGGTGACAAGGCTGCTCTGCAGAATGAACTTGACAGACTGGAGTTATGGGCTGTATACACCTCATGAAGTTCAGCAAAAGCAAAGGCAAAGCCTTGCACCTGAGTCAGCGTGACCACAAGCAGGAGCTGAGGGCAGACTGGATAATGAGCAGCTTTGCAGAAAAGGACCTGGGGTCAGGGCAGACAGATTGAACATGAATGAGTAAAACACCCTTGTGATACGGAACGCCTATCACATATTGGGCTAGATTAGCATGAGTCTAGCTCATATGTTGAGGAGTCTAGCTCATACATTGAAGGAAGTGATTTCTGAGACTGAATCTGGAGTACTGTGTCCAGCTTTGGGCTCTCCAGAGCAAGAAAGACATTTTACATAATGGAGCAGGTCCAACCAGGGCTCTAAGGGGGGCAGTAAGACAATTAGTTAAATTGTTAGGCTGGATTGGATTTGTTGAGTCTGAAGAACAGGCTAATGGGGTGACGGAGCAGGAATCTTATTGCTGTCTTCAGCTGCCCAGTGTGAGGCTTAGAGAAGATGGAGCCAGGCTGGTCTTGGAAGCTCACCATGAAAGGATGAGAGGCAGCAGATGTAAGTTGCTACACAAGACATTTCAATTAGAACTTCGGGAGAAAAAAGCCCGCAATGTGGTTGGAAGGGGTTGCTCAGAGAGGTTGTTGAATCTCCATGCCTAGAGAAACTCAGAACTTGACTGGACGAGGTCCTAAGCAACCTAATCTAAATTAGTCCTGCTTTTAGCATGGAGCTGGACCACATGATCTCCAGAGGTCCCTTCCAATCTAAATTACTCTACACCTCTAATAAATTAGAACAAGACAACTGAAAGCTATTCAGAAATGCTAAATGACAGAAATTTGCTTTGAAAGCTCTGAGACTGGGCATGAGCGAATCTGTTCACTGCTGCAAGTAAGACTATTTTGCTTTTGAGGTAAACATTCTGTATCTGAGATGCAAATTCTGACTTGGTTTCTTCCTCATTTCTTGTCCACCTAGCTAGTTGGTTTTGATATGAATTTAAAATTGACCACAGCAGTGATCCATCTTGCCTATTACCCTTGAATGACCCACAACAGATGCTTACAGGGCAGTTTAGAATCAAGGCAGTGATGCTTCCCAGATTTAATTCTTCCAGCAAATTTATAGCTCAGGGACTTCCTGAACAAGACATAGTATCTTTGTGCTAAAAATAACCCTTAATGTGTTTTCATCCAGGATTTTGTCCAGAAGTCTTCTGAATGCAACTAAGTTTTTTGCATCCACAACCTCCTATGGGAATATGCCTACAGGCAGTGTGAAAAACTACTCCCTTCTTTTTTTATTCTGCCATCTGACAACTTCATTTGGTGCCTTTAGCTCTCATCGTAGGAGAAAAAAAAAATAAATTATGTATTCTCTTTTTGGCTCTGTGCCACAGACTTCAACCATGTTCCTGCTCTGTATTTTTTTCATGAGAGTTCTACTCTATGTAGTTTCTTATTATGTGGAATACAAGATATACATCTTCTCTGTATCTTTTTTAATTGTCATCTTTTGAGATGTCAGGAGCAAAACTACATATAGTCCTGAAGAAAAATACAGGCCGCACAGTGAAATAACTATGTGTTCTGCTTCTTTCTTTATTTCTTACCCGTAATGTCCTCATTTTCTATTTCCTTCTCTGACCATGATTGCACACTGGAGTGGTGTTTTCACAAGACTGTCTATTTTAACTCCAACATTGTCTTCCCAACAAGTGAAAGCTATTTCAGAGCCCATAACTGTGTATGTAAAGCTAGGTCTGTTTTTCCTTGAGCATCACTTTACATTCTTGGGATTTCATCTGCTACTTATCACCATGTCATTCAACACCTTGTGATCCACTTTGGACCCTTCTCAAATGAGTTTCATCTGATCCAGAGTACAACTAAGACAATATAAAGAGGCATGCTTGGTTTTGGCTGTGTATGCAATCGCCTCTTAACAAAATTTAAATACATACTAAATTGAGAACAATCAAACACTTCTAAGATGAGCTTTGCATTTAGGTCTTGCTTTAAGGTCTATAACTATTTTTCTTTTTGCAGATATGCAAAGGGTGATTCAACCACAGTTAACTCAAGCAGGTTGGATGCCAACCACTCTAAAGAACTTCAGCCATATCAAATAGCATTTTATCTCTGTGTTTGTCCCTTGAGTGTAAAAGAACAACTGAGTTTTACTTACATTACAATAATAACAACAAGATCCAAACAGTTCCATGGATCTCGAAGAAAGGTAAATTCATCCCAAACAAATCCTCTTGCTAATATTTTTATCAGTATTTCACCAGTATATATGACAGTAAAAAGATATCTGAGAAGGAAAGTGTATATTAAAGTTATAGAAGTAAAAATATTAATGAGATTGAGATACATTCAGGCACATTTCTACCTTTTTATGATTTAGTCACTGGATGGAGATTAAGGTAGAAAATGTGAAGTAAAATAAGACAGGTTACATTAGTTTCAGAAACATCATGGGTATAAGAAGATGCCTTCCTGAATTTTAGTAAGATTTCTACGTAGATCTATAATCACAAATGTTCACATAAGCGTACCATACTATTTCTGGATGAAGGATAGCTCACATTTCCTTACAAAAAATTTTTAAGAATGTGTTTATGTTCTAAAGCAGGCTGGAAAATTTCAAAGCCTGAACATTTTGGCAGAACAATAACAGCAAAGACTTATTTTAGCCTGTGAAGTTTGCACATTTTATACATTTATTCTGACAAATACTCTATAATTGAAAGAAATCCTACATAAAATTAAGCTATCATTATCACCATGCTTACCCCAAAATAAAAGGAATTAAAATTGTAGAACCTCTGAGGCCCCAGGCACATTTTCAAGATTTAATTCCAGAACATTAACTCAAGTTACACTGGATACAGTCCACAATTACAAAAGGTAACAAAACATTAAAAATAGATGGCTTCCTAATGTGAACAACGGAACTAGGGCTGTCCCCAGGAAACAGCAAGAAAGAATGGAATGAATATTTATCCCTTTATACTTTTTGCATGAGACGGCCATAACAGACATTCAGGTTATTGCCTTAGAATGACAGCTATTAAGTTAGAATCCTGCTGCACGGTCTCTCTAAAAGGCTTAATCCTTAAAAGGAAAAATGGGGCAACCTTCTATGTTACACCAGATGGCAAAATTAACCAATGTAGAGAAAAGGGCATATGGTGTAAGCCCCTAAGAAAAGGCACTGAAGCTCCACAGAAGACTGTGTGATATAATAATAATAATAATAATAATAATCCTAAATAGTCCTCAGAGGTCTGACTAAGAATTTTCAAGCCCCAGAATTAGATCACCACATTATTTAAATTTTTCAGTCCAGCATGTTAGTATCCTTAGAAAAAGAGTGAACAAATGGCAACTGAGATACTTACTCAGTCCAGTTGGGTGCTTCTGAAGGCTTAGTTAAAGCCATGGAAGCACAATTGAGTGCCACAGTACATGTAATAAAGCCAACAAATAATGTGAATAATAAATTAAGGAAAAAGTGCTATATTATAAAACAATGAAGTTCAGAAAAGTTGCTGATTTACACACAAAAAAACCATACAGATATTCAAATAATTACTTTGGTTTTGAATATGCTTAGGACTTTTCATCTGTTTTCCAAAGAAACTGATGTCAGATCAAACTTCCGCTCAGCTGGTTAAACTTCATGATTTAAAAATAACAATGAATTATCTGCATGTGGGAGATAAACATGTAAATGTTTATGTTTAAATGCTTTAAAAAATGCATGTAAAACTTTAGAAACCTGCATTTCTTCCCAGCAGGAGCATGGAATAAAGTGAAATGGGCCACAATCCCATAATAATTAGGGGTTTTAAGCCTAGGGAAAACAGATGAAAAAGCTTAATTATCAATAACCAGTGTTCTTTGAAACTGGGAGTTCATATATACATTCTTACAAGAGACACCTATGCTCTGCCACGAGTTCAGGAAACTTTCTCATTTTATGTGGCAGGCAATGAAAACATACAGAAGAAAAAAATCCTTTCATGAAAGTTCACTTGTCACCTAATAAAAGCGGGGGAGGGTTTAAAAACAAACATTGGCCTTAAATTTAGGGTTTATTTGAAACTGAACAGCAAATTTAGTAATTTCTAATAGCATGAATACGCATTCAAAGTCAGCCATAAGTTCCCATAAAAGGACCTATTTTTACAAATTAGTAATTCCAAATGAAAACAGATGTTTGGCAGAAAAAGCAGAAACTACTCAACCTATGGTTTTGCACCTGCGATCCTTCACATTTTTACAAACTATGTTTATATTTTTGCAAAAATATAAAAAATGGTCGCTCTTCAGAACTTTCTAAACTTGAGTGTGAAATACATTTCTTAGGATAACATCAGACTCTTTCAGCAAAGCATTGCTGTAAATCACATCCTTCATGTTTCAATAACTAGAGAGTCACTGTTTTGGTTTCTTTTTTAAATTTAAGCTTGTGACCACAATAGAGAGTTAGAAGTAGTTCTGGAAAAGGGCTAAAATATCATACAGTAGCCTCTAAATGTTGTTTCATAACAGTATCTGCAAATCTGACTTGAAATACGAGCTTTCTGACATTTTTACTCGTACCAACACCATGTAAATATCTTAGCTGTTGTAAAACAACATTCAGTATAACTTTTTAAAAATCTCTATCGCAGCCACATGAGCTTACGTTTACATTAATATGAACAGAGGAACAGAACAACAGAAAATGGTACAGTATATTTTAAAACTGAAATAAGGGAAACCAATAAAAGGATATGAATGGATCAGAATTTTAATTGCTGCTTTTCTGACTGGATTAAAAGGACCAACTATAAACAAGGCAGGCATGGCAGTAAACCGGAAAATAGTCTTCCTGTTATTTATCACCATAAAAGTCTACAAAAAAAAAGATTCATAGTATATGAATTGTTTTAATGAAACAAAATTTTCCCCCAAAATTAAATGTTTAGGTTTTCAATTTTGCATCTAGAACTGTATCTAACTGCAATTATGAGTAAAGCTTTCCTGTATTCTTACTTGGAGCTGTGACCTGATGATACTACATTTTGAAAGAAAGACACCAGCTATATAAAAGTTCATTATTGCCTGTGAGGAAGAAATAGTAAGGAGAATGAATTTGAAGAGCAAGTGATCATATTCACTTGGTCAAAGTAATTAAAGGATACTATTCTGGGACTGCAACAATGGTGTTAATCACACTCAAAAGTACCTTTCTCTTGGATAGTTTTATAGGCTACAAAAGATTATTTACAAAACACATACTGTGTAGGACTGCCAGAATCCAGTCCAGTCAAAGCAAAAATTTTAATTTTGAAATGTCACTAAATTATCAAGTAACACTGTAAATTCCCTCTAAGCTACCTTAGGTCGGTGCAGCTCAGTACTTTTGCCACATGAAGTAAAAATGAAATCTCTTAAATCAAAACCACAGTTCATTAACTTTTATCTAAATTTCTTCAACTGAATCAGCCTTAGTTTCTCTTCATCGAGAATATCACTTTGATTACTTTGAGAAGAAAAATCTCTAGAGGAACAAAGCTTTCTGCATGTTCTCTGATTAAATTATTATATTCCAGTGACTTGCTGGTATACATAAAAGACAGCCACATAGGACTGGATGGAACCTTCTGCTCTTCAGGTCAAGTCCCCCTCAACAGTAAGCAATCATACAATAAACATTTCATTTGGAAGGGATTCCTAGAGCATCTACTTTACACACTCCTATCGGCAACAACACAAACCACTTTGCAATAGCATGGAGCATATGCAATTTAAATATGGTACAATAAAGCTGATGAGACCTAAAACAACAGAAGATTAATTTGCTATAACGAAAATATATGGGTTTGCTACACAGAGCACTGGAAACCTCTCAAATATGTCTCCCCTAATTTGTATAGTATTTGTAATTCAGCAAAAACATCCTCAGTAAGTCGTCAATTCCAGCATGATCTACTATTTGACAGGCACTGTTTATACAACAGTCAGTTCAGCCCCACAGACATCATAGAAACTGCTCTGGAAAACAAAGCATCAATTATCCCAGAATGTATTTCCTACCAAAGTTTATCTATCAAGTGTATCATGTTTTCATAATTAATTGATTGCTGACTGGAACTTAAAATACCTTTTCATTACATAATGTGGAGCATACCTTAGCACTCCTGCCCCCAAAAATGCTAGTAATGTTCGAAGATCTGTCTACAGAACAATCAAAACCCAGCACCTCCTGAATAGACCTTTTACTATCTCTTAAGAGTTCAGCAGACAAAATTAAATAAAAAAAAGCTTTTGAAAGTTTTAACCTTGTGATCACTGTAGTACGGATCAATATCTTCTAGGGGTTCCCCAATGAGCTCCACAGGAAGATCCCCATACAGAGACGGCAGTTTTTTGCAGACTTTCAGATCAAGCTGAGGAGTAAGTTTATGTTCTTCAACTCCTTTGCCCTTATTCTCCCGGTTAACTTTGGCTTGCTGCTTTTTTTTCTTAGCAATTCTTTCCTCAATTGCTGCCAAGGACTCAGGGGTGAAGCGTCGAAAGCTGTTAGTTTCTGATGGCCAAAAGGGATCCATTTTTCCTTCTATATGTTTGTTTCCAGTGCTAGAAGTAACTTAAAAGAGAAAGCTATTGACAATTAGAAAATAACAGAAATAATACACAACTTAAAACTAATACCCATTAGACAAATTATTTCTTCCTTCTGTGAAACCCCGTATGAAACTAGAATAGAATAGAATAGCGTAGCATAGAATAGTGTAGGACTATTTCAGTTGGAAGGGACCTACAACGATCATCTAGTCCAACTGCCTGACCAATTCAGGGCTGACCAAAAGTTAAAGCACGTTATTAAGGCACTGTCCAAATGCCTCTTAAACACTGACAGGCTTGGGGCATCGACCACCTCTCTAGGAAGCCTGTTCCAGTGTTTGACCACTCTCTCGGTAAAGAAATGCTTCCTAATGTCCAGTCTAAACCCCCCCTGGCACAGCTCTGAACCATTCGCACGCGTCCTGTCACTGGATAGCAGGGAGAAGAGATCAGCACCTCCCTCTCCGTGTCCCCTCCTCAGGAAGCTGTGGAGAGCAACGAGGTCTCCCCTCAGCCTCCTCTTCTCCAAACTAGACAAGCCCAAAGTCCTCAGTCACTCCTCATAGGACATTCCTTCCAGCCCTTTCACCAGCTTTGTTGCCCTCCTCTGGACGCATTCAAGGACCTTCGCATCCTTCTTAAATTATGGGGCCCAGAGCTGCACACAGTACTCCAGGTGAGGCCACACCAATGCTGAATACAGCAGGATAATCACCTCTTTTGACCGGCTGGTTACATGGTGTTTGATGCACCCCAGGATATAAAGCAAACCAAGTAGAAGCACGTTCATTTAGAAGAAAGGGTAATGTAAAACAAAACCAACAAAGATCAACAACTGATTCTGGATCCACCCTGTATAATTCAGTTTGCAGAAGAGAGAATTTTTTCCTTTGTCTTTCCAGCTAGGAAGTGACAAAATCACATCTCTGTCAGAACTCTGACAATCACCTAATTGTTTATCTCTGTAGCAGCTTTGCACCTTAGTTACTGTACCTCTGTACTTCTTGCAAACAGAAGTCAGTTCCATCCCTACCACCCCTGCTGCTTACATGGGATCACAAAATGGTCTAATTGGAAAGGACCCTGAGGCTCATCAAATCCATCCCCTGCTCAAAGCAAGACCAACACTGAATTTGGCTCAAGGTTTTGTCCAGTTGAGTTTTGAGTGCATCCAAGGGGATATTTATGGCTTATAGTAAACACAACACAAGAAATGGCAGGTTTTACCTTACTGGTCTTGAGCTTTGCTCTCCTCTGATTCTGCCGATTTGTTAGTCACGTTTGTGCTTTGCTCTTCCTGTTCTTCAGACTCTGAACTCTTTCCCTCATGCCATTTATTTATGGCTGAGAAGCTCTGCTTCTGAGGCTTTTTTTCTAATTTTGTTGAGTAGCAAACTAAGAATGTGGCCACAACTAAGGCTTCACCATATGTGGTTTGATGAAAGAATATTTGCATTGACATTAAATAACAAACTGTATTACAAACTTTTATAAACCTAGGCTAAAACCAAGATGCAGTATCTGGGAAACATCTGAGTTTCAAATATGCCTCCAGATTTCCTGAAGTTTTTATAAGATACCTGTTGAAATTAATTTAGCTTGACATGACTTACCACAAGCGTACAAAAGGTATGATGCATCACACTACAAAGCATAGTGTGCTGCTTGGTATTATTTCACTAACTTTGCTGACAATGACTCCTGCATACTTTCACACCAAGACTTGGTAATTAAGAATCATTTAGTAAGCAGTTCTCAAAAAATTGCAGTAACACCAGTGACAGAACTGGGATAGCTGCCATGCTTAATTCTGCTTGTGACCACCCCTGTTCTATGTGCTTAGAAAAGCCAGGGACCTGCACTTCCTCCAAACAAACTTCACTAGGAGGTGATTTGACCACTGATCAACGCTCGTGAAGCTCCATACCCACTGACTGTTATGCAGAATTTAAAACAACCTAAAGACACCATCAAGGACTACTACCAACCAAATAATCAAGTAAATCTGGTACTGCACTCCTCACAACTGCATGTCAATAGGAAGATTAGACTCTCCTAGAATTTTACAGGTGTCTTAATATTTTGTAGCTCTGCACTAGAGTGCCTGCTGTTTCTGGAGATCTTGGTTATGTCTATTTGTTTAATAACTACTCTTTCATACACATCAGAGGAAACAAATTTAATTACTATTAACTACTCGGATTTTGATCCGAGTCATTGCCTTGTTTATTCATGCTGACAGGTATGGGTCAATTCTGCCTCCCATACCAGCCTGGGGAAAGGTAAATACGAGGAAGCAAATTCACCTTCTGACATAGTCACAAATATTGCAATTCTTCTGGGGATTAGCAGAGTACCTTCAAGAATTTATTTTCAATTATTCTGCTTGAGCTTAAATCACTGACAAAGGGGAAGGGTGGCAAGGTAGTGAGCAGCACTGAAGTGACTTAAGGCAAATCACTGTAAGTAATCAGTTACTAATGACTTCTGGCCCGAATTTACCACATTACTTGTAGATGACAGCAATTTACATGACTGCAGTTCTCATCCACAAAAGATAAAGAAAATTTTGACCCATTACAGGATGACTCGCCCTTTGTGACTCATGTCAAAACCAATTGCTCCCATCTAATAAACACTTTTGGTCACCAACTAGTCTTTAAAACACTCTGCATTTTTGATTGCCTGAGGTCCAGCTGTGCCGCTTCAGTTTTGTGAGCTCACATGTGGCCCATGACAGAGAATCAATATTCTCTTCTAATTACAGCTCTCTTCTTTAAAAACATAGATATATTTCTTTAAAAAGAATATGCAAATGCATGTAGCCAGAATGATTGTGCAATGATTTTGTTTTGGTTTAGGGGATTTGGGTTGTTTTTTTTTTTTTCCTCCTCTGGGACTTTACAAGCAAGTTCAGATCTGATCAGGGACCACAACGCAGAGATCAAAATTTACCATGGTAACAAACTGAAAGAATATAATCAAAGAACTGTTACTTTGCAAAACCACACAGACCCACTTCCAATGGAAAGCTCAAAAGATAAAGTGAAAATCAACATGTTCTTTTTTTTCTATTTTTGATAATTCTAAGAAGATAAAATTAATCTTCAAAGCAGTTTTAAGGACAACAGAGAGACTGAGCTTTTAGGTAACTACATTGACTGTAATAAATGAAGCAAAGAAAATGGTTTTAGTTAATACAAACATTGTTTTAGTATTAAGGATTTCGGAATTTTAAAAAAAATGAAGGCTGAATCTGTCAAAAGCAGTGGTCAAGAGCAAAAAAACCTTACACATTCCCTTCAGCAGCAGTGACTAGAAGTCATAATTGAACAAACATTCATGGACAACGTGAGAGGATTGCCTCGGAAGACCTGTACCAGCAGTGTGCTTGGGCTCACATGGAACAACAGGCTTTTTGGCCTTTCATCAACTGCCAAGCATTTATAGATTGTGACTTAGGTTAGGAAAAAGGAAGCTAAGAAGATGTGACTGAAAAAAATCCTTGTGATACAGATGACTAAAAAATTTTGAAAAGACAGTAACTACTTGAAATTCCTGAAGCTCAGCTAAACTCAGCCACCTCATCATATGCTGCTGAACTAGCTGATTTTTTAAGTCAAGACACTAAAGTAAAGTGTTACCCTTAGAAATAATTTCAGTCTTCGCATTGGATAGAAAAGTCTCCCTAGTAAATGACTCTGGGAGGGAAGCTACAGAACAAGTGTTCCCAGAAGTAAGCTAAAGCACTTAATCCCTGAATGGGATTTCTTCTAGAACCTGGGAAAACAAACTTGGGTGTGTAAATACAAGTTAGTCTGGGAAAATTCTGACAATACACTACCTAAAGCATGCTGCTGAAGGCAAATACAAGGCTAGAGTCCAGATCTGTTAATTTCCAATACAGGCTATGTAAACATGTAGAGTTCCTTTTATATGCAGCAAGGTAACAACAATCAAACTATTGACCGTAAGATATTCAGCAGTCCGTAAGAGAGGAATTTAAACTAATAGAACTGCTCAGCAAAACACTATCAAAGTCAGGAAGGGGCATTTTTTGAGGAGGAGTTTCCCAAATATAAGATAGGAAAACTAGTAGGAACATATATAGAAAGATGTCCTTATTTGTGTTTCAATCTAGTTCTAGCATGTATAATAACCAATTCTGAGTCTCAAATTATTTCTATCCGCTCCCTTGTAATTTAAACTAATAGAACTGCTCAGCAAAACACTATCAAAGTCAGGAAGGGGCATTTTTTGAGGAGGAGTTTCCCAAATATAAGATAGGAAAACTAGTAGGAACATATATAGAAAGATGTCCTTATTTGTGTTTCAATCTAGTTCTAGCATGTATAATAACCAATTCTGAGTCTCAAATTATTTCTATCCGCTCCCTTGTCAATAGCCACCCACTGAATATTTCCTGTGTGCACCTGGATCTGAAAAAATAAAGGGTAAACTATCCATTTAGTTTGGTTTTAGTATGTATTTAATAGACTCTTTCACATGGGAATAAAGAATAAAAATGTGTCCCCACGGTAGGATTTTGTTTGAAAGCACAAAATCAAATAACTATATGCTTAACATAGGTCAAGAAGTATCTTAAAATGAATAAGTAAAAAAAAAAAAAGAATAAAACATGTAGCAATACTTACCATGAGATTCACCACCGTAGGACTGGAGTTATTAAAATCTATGCTCTAGAATCATAGAATCATTAAAGTTGGAAAAGACCTCTAAGATCATCAAGTCCAACCGTCAACCCAACACCACCATGCCCACTAAACCATGGCCCTCTAGTCAGAGCCCTGTTCCTTTTTCAGTGCTTATCCACAGTATTTCCAAAAAGCTTGTTTTGACCTATCTGTGTATTTGTGAAAACTCATTTTAAGCGGGCAGTTGCAAAATCAAATTTTAATACATCTTATACACAGTTCAGACAATGATAATAACAAAACATCCAGAACCAGATATTTCCAAGTATTTCATGAAGGAGTACTTAACTACACTTAAGTGCATCCATCACATTCAATTTTGGTTCATGGAACCAAGTGGCCTTTTCAGCTCTATCAGCAAAATTAGTAGCCTTTTTAGTATCTTAAAAATATACAAATTTGTATTAACACTTAGGCCAGATATACAGAAACACAAAGATGTTATGGATGGATGCAGTCTGTGGATAAAGACATCTTTGTTGAGGTCCTGCATGTGAACAAGTCATCCTAACTCCCATTACAGTCAGTGGGTATCTAGTGATATGTATAGTCAATCAAGGCTGTAGAGACAGTCAAATGACCAAAGGGAGACAGATACTTTAAAATCATCTAAAACTCCAGTGACAACATTAACTAAATCTCCACTGACTGTAATGGGAGTTTAAACATCTAGATCACAGACAGGGAGCTGCATTTAGACACCTAAATATAGCTATCGATCTTGCACTGAATCATTCCATAGCTGCCAAAACTTTCCTTGCTGTTAAGCAGAGACCTCTAACACTCTAGAGTCACGTTCCTGTGTGACCCACAAGAGCAGAACCAGATGTGAGCAAAAACAATGGTCTGCATTAGCTATTTCAGATTTTAAACTTTACATTCAATCAGTTCACTATATACAACAGGAAACACTGATCTGAAAACTCTGAATATTATAAGCATCTCCAAGTTCATCATCACCACGGATGCACTAGATATGTATACTGTAATGAATCCCCATTATTAAAAATAACTTATATTCCACAAAAAAGATGATTAAAAAAGGAATAAACACACTATTTTTTATACGTAGCTCAAATATTTTTGAAACAGGTGCACCACTGTTCATCTGGAAAAAGAAAAAAATGAGAAAGCAGCTCACAGCTTCACCTTATGAAATAGGCTAGGAATTCTCTCTTTTCTGTGTTGTACGACACCTTGTAAAAAGCTATCACCTACTCAGTTCCAATAAAGAGAAAACACTTCTGCTCTCTGATCACCATTTTCTTCTATTTAACTACCAATATTAATTAACAGATTTAACAGATTTATTTTAGTCCTTTCTAAAATCAAACTTGGACATTTTATTGGACTACTCCTGTCTCTAAAATACATGGCCATTTCTTCCACCTAGCACTTTGTCCCCCACTCCCTCCCGCCCCCGCCAACAAAAACTTTGTGTTTGGATAAATATCTGCCGGTGTTTTTTTCTTAAACCAGATGTAATATAAAAAGCTATTCACAATATCAATATAATATAATAAAATCTATTCACTCATTGCCTCCAAAATCAGAAATGTATGCAATAGGCTAGACTGTGCGTTACTTAAACATCCTGAAAAAAATCCCTCACCAGCATTTTTGTGAGAAAAACGTTCCAGATTTGTGTAGGTAAAGAAATTCCACTATCTCAAGATAAGTACAGCTCAGATTAGGTAGTACTGAAGCCAGCTTGAAGACTACTGTGCATAAGCCAATATAACAAACCAACAAGACAAAAAGTAGTCAGTAATTAATATGAGAAATATTTTAATGTTTAGTAAAATGTTACACTGCCACATGTAAACTAAAGGAAGAGCTGCATGTTTACAGCAAAAAAGTAATTCTACATTAAAGGCACATTTTCTTATGTACATGCTACCTGTACCTAAAATAAAACCACACCTAAAAGCATGTGTGCACATATTTTTTACATATATATACACATATGTAAACATATATTCTTGAATATTTTGATCAAACATACATAGATCTAAATTAAGAAAATCAGCAATTGAAATTTCTCACAGTATACAAATATTTAGCAAAACCAAAATACTTACAACATCCCTTTCAAAACAAAAAACCTTCACACTGATTTCTTAAGCTAATTTCGGCTAGCTTGTATCTTCAAAGAGGCAGAAAGTCTGCATTTTCTCACCTTCACCATTCTGTTCAAAAGAACATCCTATGTACCTAGCTAGCTCCCATGCAGAAAGTTTTCTTTTGTATTGGGATGCCTGGGGGAGGAACGGAGGGAGGAGCTTGGTTGCTCTTCTAACAGCAATAAATGAAATTTTGTGATCTCACTGGAAACACTGTAAAAAAGGAAAAAGTATGAGGGTGATACTTCTGAAGAATAATCACCTAAATATTAATCAATTCTTTTCTTTCTGCTGAAATCAGTTACATTTTTTAAAAACAAAGAGGTTTTTTGGTTCAATCAAATATATATGTAAAAATCTATAAAAGCAAAAGCTGTCCTGTTTCACATTTCATTCTGAGGTTTTAACCAGATGAATTTTCCAGCATACGTTAAATATCGGCACAAATTTTGCCCTCTGTTAAAAGTTTTTGGTTAGAAATTCGAGTTACATATTACTGTTTTTTCATTCCTTAATCTCTATTTTTTATTATTCCCAGGCTATGATGTATGTTCATTGTGCCTTATAAAGACAAAATCTCAGAGTAAAATATACTATCTCATACATACAAGATCAGAGCCCAAAATACATTCAGTATCACATTATGCCATAACTTCTGTTAAAACATACAAACCTTGTTTGAGCAAAATAAAAACCACAACATTTATCCTCGTATCTGAAATCGCTTATATTTATTTAAATAAAAGTTATGTATAAAGCCTCCTAGCAACAGGTATTGGACAGTAACAGGTATAAATTAATGGTAAGCCCTATTGCTAAGTACAGTTATTTCTTTTACAGTTACATCAACAGAACCCATTACTGTCCAAAAATTTTTTTACTCTTTCTTGGGTTGCTTCTAAATCTTTCCTGTCATCTTTCCTGACGATAAGAGTTACTATGGGTTTTGCAGGAAGAATTCTACTGAAGGAACTACTCTGTCCTTAAAAGCCAGGCAGCCCTAATGCATGCAAACAGAAAAACAAACACTTTGCTTGATAGGTATCATCAGCAAAGGAAACAACTAAAGACGGTTTTAAAGAAATAAAGACGCTAAGTGTTCTGTGATGCAAACAACAATAAGCCATTTTATGTTCCAGTGTAAGTTATTTTTCCAGAAAGCAATAGCATGTTCTCAAGACAAGTTCAATTAGGCGAGCAGAATTTTAAAGATCAGTAAAGCATCATTCCATAATGGCAGTATATCTGTTACAGTCAGAAAGAGGCCATGTTTATAATGCTGTACCAGCTACTATCACTAAAAACAAAAAAGATCCTTACCTGGACGTATTTTTTCTGCCGTATCTTCTTCATCAATCTGTCCCTGTGAAAAATGGGGCACAGGGAGTAAAGACAGAACTCAAAGGAGCGAAAAGAGTTGCACTCCTTCTGCCCTTTTTGCACGCTGTAATATCGACAATCAGAAAAGAGGAAGGCATGGAAAACAACAAGATTTTTATCTGTAGCTGTTAAAAGATAGCCTTAGGACTTGCAGCTAAGAGCAAAACTTTCAGACAAGTAACTTTGCTTGTGTTACTATGTGAAATTTACTTTCTCCTATTAGGAAGGCAGTTTCTTAAAGGGAGGGGGAGGAGGCAGAAAACTAGCTTCATAGTAAGAACATTGTTTTCTTCGCAGTTTCATTCATTATTCCTCAGTATAATGAAAAAAAGAAAAAAAAAGCTGAAGTTTAACAACAAAAAGATAATGTTCATTATAAAAATGACTAACTCTGCTTAATTTAGTTACTATGTTCTTGACATGGACCTGTCTCTTCCATTAACTGCAAAGTATAGCACTCTTCTTTTTCCTTTTTATTGCCAGAGCACAAGAAAAGTATTTTTTTCTTGGTAGCATTAGCACACCACCATTAGTCTAATGACTAAGAGTGTGCAGATGTCAAGAGCTGAAAAAACAGATTTTTGCATAATTAAATGTACCTTGTGACTGTGCCATAACTCTAAACACTAGATGCTGCTTTAAATTACCGATCAGATAAATACGGTCATTAAAGATATCAAGGCATCTGACAGTTCATGCACACTGCATGACCCTCTTATCCTCAAATTCTATCCAGCTGCCTCGTCTGCTAGCTTCTATCTACTGAGAAATACTCTGTGGTATAATCCTAGAAATCTGTGCCTCCTATATTCAGCGGGATAATAGACACACAACATGTGCCTCTGTCTTAGAGGGAAAAGGGTTCATACAAGGTTTCTCTTCCTGTTTTTCCCATTTATAGGAAGGAGACTGCTATTTAAGTTCCTAACAAATTCAGCATGATTTCCCTCCTTTTCCTATCTGATTGGGACCTTCCCTCAATAGCTCACTGACCAAGGACCCCCTACTATACGTGAGAAGTCTGAAATTCAGATCATTGAAAACCTAATCCTTCTAATACATCTCCCTTTAAGATACGTCTGTATCTTTAAGATACTATGTCTATAAATGGCTAGAATTACAAGATGTACACAAGATACCAGACAGATACAAGAGGGAATGGAACTTCATTTTCAAGTAAGTCACTATCGTCAACTGATGTATCTGTAAATCTAACTCTGCAATTTGTACACTGACCTATTCAATAGCCTCGCTATTAGTCATACAACACTCATGGACAGAAAGTTGGAGTAAAAAAGTGTTTTACAGAGAGAAAACAAACACATTTATCAAAAATTCAATGGAAAAATCAACATTACTTTACTTACACGCTAAAAACATCTAGTAACTTCAACCATAATAGCTGGAAGGAAAACTACTCGAGCCTGAGAAAGACATTCCATATTTTCAAGAAATGGATCCTGCAAAACAAAGTCATACAATATGTAACTAGATCGTGGCAACCACTGATGAAGAATGCTATTGAATGTGATATAAAGTACCTTTTAATTGTTTTAATTTAGGTTAAGATTCTTACAGAGACAAATCACGACTGCTAATTGCGGAGCTTATTAGCACCTTCTGGTGCCCATTAGCTGACACTGACCACAAGTGATTCTGAGACAAACACAGTGATGCCGATGATCCTCCATTAGCATCAGCAAATGCAAACCACTGTTTCACACAGAAACCCCCACAAAACACAGAAAATTCAACTGTGCACGTAACAGCAAATAGGTATGAACACAGACGTCAAAATACTCTCCTGAAGGCAAAATCTCCATCTCTGGAGAGCAAGGAATAGAAATCATGTCAGATGGAGCACAGGCATGGTGTATTTTTAGTTTCTTTAAAGACAGCAACACCACATGAATAGAGGACGTCTCTTTTGGGCATAATAAAAATAAACACAAATCACAATCATAGCAAAAAGCAGATATTAACAGAAATCAGCTGTTATTTTTGCCTCCCTACCACATGCAATGAAAAAAGTTTTCCAAGTAACTTTAGAGTTAAAAATAAACAGTTCCTCCTCATAAATGCAACGTTCTGAAATTTGGTAAACCTGCATGAGTGATATCATGACAGACAGAATTTCTCAGTAGAAAATCCTAGTTTTTCTACATTAAGAATCTGGTTTTCTCTTAAGCCCTCAAATCTGCAACAGCACTACACACAAATTTTCAGAGCGTGAACTACATGGTTTCCTTGCCTCTGCTCGCAGCAGAATTATCACTGATCAGTGCCTGGGAAAGTCGTTCTGCTTTTGGTGCAATGGCCCTTCAGCTGACCTTTTGCAGGACAGCCACATGACAGCAACACGGAACACACAGATATAACTGCATGAATATGGTCCCCCCGATGACCGCACTGATGACAAGGCACTAATGCCAAATAGAGCAAAAAACTAAGTACACTTCCCATTCCGTGTATAGATCTTTAGAGTCTTTTGGGGAAACAAGCTTGTGTGTTTAAAAGGAAAACAAGCTAATCAAAACCATCTTGGTTATGTCCTTCAGGTAAGTATCTTTGAAAAATGTGGTACAGAATAAAGCAGTCAGCGAATTCAGCGATAGTTCCCATAGTACTCGGTCATCCAAATAAGAAGCGGAGACCTGACTTGATCACATCATAAGGACTTACAGACAAATGAGAGCTTTAATAGTGGATGGCTCTTCAATCCAACAAACAAAAGTCAAATGTGGACCAAAAAAGGGGCACACGTATTTAATAGGATGGACGATTAAGTACCAAAACAACTTGTGAACACTTATGGCCTTCTCAAATACTCAAAATCATTAGTGTTTGATTACATCAGCCCTTCGTTTTCTAATCCCCACCTAGCTCTATATACATACGTACACAGTTTGAGAATTGATAGCAGATTTTCATAGGACAATATTACTTTATAACACATATTTGGAGCAGTGTAACAGTTATTAACCCTGATGCTTACAGCTCATAAATGATATTTCTTACAAGTTTATGTAATGGAGGCAGTTCATTGCTCAGCAATAAAATTTCATTCTCCTTGGTAATTCAAGCATTTCATCGGATACACTTGCAATGAAAATTATTTGCAGAGATTTCTGTTTACTACAGCTGCGACTTCAGAGAATTTGCGATCCTCCCTCCTGCCTGTAACCTAAACTGGCAGACAGGGAAAGAGGCATGCCCACAATCTGAGAAATACTATAACCTCTGACATATCACATTAAGAGCTATCTCTAAATAATGCACACACATTTATTGCAATGCAAACTCAAATGCATCCATCATGGGCTGAATTAATTCAGCTGCTAGCCAGAAGCTTCGGGACTCTCCTTAATTTCAAGACCTAGATGAGATTCCAGGAATGTCTCTTACAAAATATTATATCCCCGGAACAAGAGTAATATGGGACAGCAGGCAAAAAGAAAAGTAGTGGGGAAATACATCTTCTTTGCTTTACTTGGAATGCAGAATAACTAAGTATTACATATATAATAAAACCAAAACCCCCACACACAAACTACTATATTATACAAAATATCTAAAGGCATGACTCTGTCACAGAAAAAACGAGGGGTTCTGGCTAATAAGTATCTCTGAGATAAGCTAAAGGTGTGGCCCAATCCCTCTTAGAAGAGAATCTAATAGTATAAAGTACATGATGTATTTATCGAGATAATAATTTATATGATTTCCATTTCCCTTTTTTCATGCTGCACGATGAAGTAAGAAATCACACAGACGTGAAATTTGCTATTTGGTAAATAGCTAATTGGCTTTACAGAATAACAGGAAATAGCTTTTATGGGAAGTACACATTAAACGCATTGGTACACAAAGCAGCTTTCTGCCTAATGACCTAATGTACACTGAGTAAGTCTGAAAATTAGCTCAGTGCCTGAAGTTCAAGTTATTCCATCTGTTTCTTCTTAGTATTCTGAAAAACAGTATCTTTGAAGCATTTTATATTTCTCAAAAGTAAGATGCTAAGAGCATGCAAAATATTGCTACTACAATCTCTGAAAGATTTCCAGCATTTCTGATGCAATCATGCTAACACAGTTTATTCTTGAAGTCTCACCTTTTGTTGCATGGCTCCAAACACAACCATGAAATGACAAACGCAAGAGCACTAGCAAAGACCGAGCCATTTGGTTTCAAACCTATTTCTTACTGTAGCTCCCTGTAAGATTAAAGTCTAAACTTCAACATGTCAAGAATGCAACTTGTAAAAATTATGTAATACCAAACAGCTTTACAAACTAAAACCAAACCAACCAACCATACATGCTAGTGAACTAGAATACAGTATTTAATAGTTAGATTAATGCAAGGAAGCAAATTTAAAACAAAGTTAATGATGAAATGATTTATCTCCTTTCTCCAAAGCCTCCCGGATTTCAGCTCTGCCTGTCCCTCCTCTCTAGCTAGCTGGGGTATCCGATTTATCAAAATGGCTTGAAAATTTAGTTTCTTTCTTTGCTTCCAGTTGCCATCACGCTGGTTCCGTATCTCCTACTTACACGAAATGGCAGTCATTAAGAATGTATGTGTAGTCACTGTTTTGCTACCGCTATCTGCAGAGCCCTTTGCTCATACATGGCCCGGTTGTGATAGACGCTCAGACATGCCAACTGCCTTAGTGACTCAAGGAACTCTCTCTCACTCCTCTGTGCCAGTGGAGAAACTAACGCCTCATCCAGCAGTCAAAACCAGAGCGGCTGTAAACTCATTTGCAGTATTTTTCATTAGATTTCTACAAATATTCCCTCATTGTAAACAGTGCAAAAAAAAAAAAAAGCCAACCCAGAAGATCTGGGCATCCGCCTGATTGTCGTCTAAAATCACAGCTTTATTCCGGATGATATTCTGCAACTTTTCAGGGCTTAATCCAGCAGCACGAGGCAGCTACAGGCACACCATTTCCAGAGAATCACAGCAAAGACTGTGCTCATTGTACATTGTTCTGTGAATGTATTTTTGTGGCTTTTACAGCAGGTTTTGGACATGAAGGAGTCTAAAACAGTAGACTGTATTACTTGAATGTCTTGCTTATGCAGACACGTAGAATATGATATTCCAGGAAAACTGTCACACAATAAAATTAAATAGGATTTAAGATCACCAAGTTTCACATCCCGTAAAATACAGACTAAATACAGTAATTTCAAACAGTTACATCTGAGTCATGACCATAAATTATAGATAGGCTACAACACTTTTGGTTTCAAGCTATGTAGAATCTACCATGTCCTTTGGGGATTTTTTTCAGTGATTAGCTGGTCTTAAAATGCAGGTCTTCTTCATATCTTGAATTTACGTAGCTCTCATCCCAACTACAGAACCTATTACAGCTTTTCCTGGAGGATTAAAGAGGTCTTTGTTTATGAAAAGCATTTTCTACTTGTAGTTCTATAATTATATTTTAAAAAATGGCATCGGAAGTGATGTCCTAAAGCCGACTAGTTCACACTTTAGCCCAAAACAGCATCAACTCTACTGATGTAATTCCTGGAGATACTTGTTTAGTCTCTTATTACAACAGATGGTGACTCCAGAACCTTCAGATGCAACGTATTCTAGTGCTTCACTATTCTCACTGCCAAAAAAGGTTTTTCTTGTGCTTCATCTGAATTTCCTGAACTGCACTCTCAGCCTGTTACTTCTTGTTTCACTTATCAAGGACATGAATATGAGTTTATTCCACATTTCTTCTTAATTATTTGAAAACTGCTATCACGTTTCCTTCCATCTTCTCTTCTGTAGACAAAATCCATCTGAACCTCACATCATAATTCATACTTCTCAGGCTCCAAATCATTCTTAAAGCGTATTTCTAAATCCTTTTAACATTTACTTTGAATGCTGTGACTGTCAAACCTCACAAAGAGGGAATGGAGCAGCAGACAGAAGAAGCTGGGAAATTCTATAGCATTCTCGAACCTACTACTATTAAGGAAATATCATCTTTATACTCTTACTTATTACAAAGATTATTCACCCATCAAACACTTACATTCCAGGCATTTCCATCCTTACTTCTCCCCTTACCTCAACATCCTGGCTTCACTCCTGAGACCTGTTCAGTTCTCCACCACTTCCTTTTTGGCTCAACAGCTGTTTGCTCACTCTGGTGTTCTCAGAAATTCACAGTTTAGCCAAAGATGATCAGATTTTCATGGAAGTTGAAAAATAATCCCCGGACTCATACACACATCATGTTCCTTCTCTTCCAAAACCAAAAGCAAACAACTAACATTGTAAACTAGATCATCTTACCACTTTCCTAAAACAACACAAACATGATGAAAGGCTGAAAGATTTACTGCATAACAAAGAAAACCTTACCTACAATAGTTTTTGCGTAACATTGTCTTTAGTTCAGGCTTGATAAACATACACACAGAAAACAGAAAATTATCACTATTATAATACTCATGTTTTTAGCAGCCCTCAGTAAATATGATCTTTGTTGGCCTAGGCGATCTCCAGAGATCCCTTCCAACCACAACGATTCCGGGATACGAAGGGATCACTGTAATTTTTTTCTCCTTCAAGTAATGAATTGTTGATCTGAAAGGTTGAAGAAACACTGTATTATATATATTAATAGCAGCAACTATCCTTAAAAAGTTCTTTGATGCACAAAAAAAGAGGAAAAGCAATTTTTAAATTGCATAATGTAAAAAAAAAGGTTCTGTCTGTTAAAAAAAAATCCACTTTAAATCAAACGTACAAAAGATGATGACTGCCCTTGAAGACACAACATTAACTTTACTAAATGAATAATCCGTTGGTGATTATGGATAATGAAATGATGATTAGGTTTATGAATGAAATTATTATTTCCTTTTATCAAAGAATAAAACAAAAATATCAGAATTTCAGTATCTCTAAGAGAAAACAAGAAATGACTTTAAAGTATGCATGAAAATTGTGTTTGAAAAGAAGTCATCAACCTCTTAATGGACTAACGCATACTGAAATGTAGTAAGGCACTTTGGTCAGTATTTACTTACAGAGAAAACTTCACACTGCCTCATTCTTTTCGAGTTCAGAATCCAATAAAATTACATACTTTATGCATAACAGCATCTGAAACACGGATAGTTACCATTAGCCTGAAGCCAGTACACAATTAAACTCTGAACAAAAAACCCCCTTAATTTTATCTTTGAAAAAAATGCAATTTATTAAACAACAAATGCATTTCACATTTGTCTTAGGAGATGCCTTAAATCATATGCTTCCCACTGCTGCAACAAGATAAAATAGTAGAAATACTGCAGTTAAGGAAGGACTTTGGTCAAGGCAGATCTCTTAAGAATCATACACTCCACTTGCAATTATGATGAGGACATTGTGCACTCGACAATGCTAGAAAATGTGATCTGTGTCAAAATAAGCAAAGTTTAAATTAGCAGAAGTAAAAGGCCATTATGTCTTCTACTTATGGTTACAACCAGCATCAAACAAGGATGTGAATACCTGAATGTATCTTTTTTTCCTTATCCCTTTACACATTTTTTTCTCTCACGGTATTTTTTTTTTTCACTAATAAACTATTAGCATCTTTACTGTTCTACCATAATGAAGTAACAAGTGTAACAAAAAGATGTCCCAAGAAGACAGTCCTGTCCACTTCACACAGATCCTCACCCAGAACATGGTCACTGCTGCAGCTGAACACTTTCTGCATTAATAAAGTGCCAAAAAGACATTTGGGAGTTGAGGGGCGGGGGGGGAGCACCTCTGGAAAAGTCATACAAAATACCATCATGCAATCATTTTCAGGTATCCTTTTTCATCAGACAAAATAATACCATCTTCCCTGGTCCTCTGGGCAAGGCAGTTGAAGTCTTTGCTATCCGCTCAGCGGGGCAGCCTCAAACAAGAGGCAAGGCAGGATCTCGCTTTTAAGCATTTGTCCCCCACCACAGACCCTTAAAGAGAAGGGGGTGGACCTGGGCACTAAAAGGGCACGTGTAAAGCCCCCAGCACCTCAGAAGCACTCCCTACCGCACCCTGCCTCAGGCTTTGACCTGGAGTGCCTCAGGGCTGGCACCCAGCACCAGCCTTGCCTGAACGCCTCAGCCCCGAGCGGAGCCCTCCAGAGGGGGACAAGTGACCTCACACGCCGCAGGCCTGGCCTGCCGGGGAAAAACACGGCCCCTGGGGCACCGCAGGGAGGGAAGACGACACCCCGTAGGCTGCAGTACGGGCCAGGACGCGGCTCCGAACCTTCCCGGGAAAGGACTGCGGAGAAGTAACTCCGCGGAGAACATGGCGGAGGCCGGGGGCAGGGCGGGAACGCTAGCCCCGCCCCCTCCTCCGGCCCCGCCCCCTCCG